ATATATATATATATATATATATATTAGTTACAGAATAATATTTTTGTCAAAATAGTACAATTTTCTACTTAAATCAAAGAAATATGCAAACTTAATGATACTACCTTTTGCTGATAGAGCTTCTGCAGCCATTCAGCAGCAGCTTCGTCTCCCTCCGGCACTTCCTCAATAGGAATTCTTTTAGCATACATATGTCCCTGTAGCCGTTTCCCCAAGAGAAGATTCCTCATGGTTGGCTTTACGGGATCAGATGGCTTGAACGCTATTTGAATATCATAAATAGCCGTTGCTTTGCCTCTCATATGTGGAATGCTGGCGGTAAAACCTTTTGTGCGTGGCGTTAAATGATATTTTAATACTGGCAGACCCTTTTCGATAGCAAATTTCTGACTAGCTTCTAGTTTTTTCGGCGTGAAGCGCGTACCCTCGGGATAGAGCAGCAGCTATGATCAATCATTTACATATTTATTTTTATAACTATAATTATTTTTAGCAAGTAATGTTATTAAACGCTTTGAAATTATTCGCTCTAAATTAGCTAATACGATCCCGTTAGATTAAAAAAAAAAATAATATACTCACCCACATTGTATCAGGATATTCGACAAGCTCCTTGATTTGACTTTTAATGTTCTCCTTGTCTTTCTCCCAACTCCTCTCGAGGAAGATACTCTCAGCGAATTTCCACGCCCATCCCAGTGTAGGAATATACTGTATTGACTTCTTAGCATAAGCTTTGCAATTCTAAAAAATATATTTTTCAAAATAAAAACATCTTATTTTATCTATATATACACCATATATTTAGAAATCAATTCTTTTCAGTGATTACATACACCTAGCAATCTCACACGATCACATAGCAGCCAACCTATCAACCAATCGGTTTCGTAACTGTGATTCATTAAAAGGTAACCGTGCTCATTACCGAAATATTTATCAAAGTCCTTCTTATCTATGTACAATACCAGGTCCGCTCCTGCCCACCATTCTGCCATAAATACTAATTCTGGCAGAAGTAAAAATTTAAAATGTATTAATTTCTGGTAAAAATAAAACAAGCTACAATACAAAACAAGGTAAATCTGGTAAACTTACGACAGTAGAAGGAGTAACAGAGATAATAGTTGATCTTGCGATAGAGGTACTTGGAAAAGGGCCTCAGTCCAAAGTATAAAATGCATTGGAAGAAATTTATTATCAAGCCGGATGTAAAAAATGTGATGGCAAACAATAGGTGTATCACCAACCATTGCTTCACGAAGGCAAGCACTCCCATGGTGATAAGCAAAAAGAATTAGATCATATGCTTCATAGAAAACATAAATGTTTGGTTTCTTTCCCTGCAACAGAAACAAGTCAACAAATGTTTTAAAATTGTTCATATAGAAAAATTTTTTAAACTTTCATTATAAAATTCAATTAAAAATTTTAATTATTGTACCCATAATTATCATTATATAAAAAGAAAATAGAGAATTACAAAATAATTTTATCGTGTGTGATATTAGCTATGTGTGCAAGTATTTACGCAAACAACTTGCCTGAGAGTGAAAGAAATATTTGTACCATTGTTATGTACAATTTTTTGATCACTGGATGCTGTTTTATATATAACGGTAATTGTAAACTGTTTTAATTATGTCAACTATATTCATCAATCAAATTAATTTGGTATAATAAAGAGCAAATCATGATAAAAAGATTTATTTATGTAAATAATATGTAAATATTAGCAGTAATAAATTTACGCAAAAATAAGTCTAACAATAAGCAAGGATAATTTTATTATTCTATAAATAATAATAAGTAATAACTAATTCTTGGAGTAAATACTGTTTATTTTTAAGTAATAAGTTTACTTTTGGAAAGATAAACTAGATGTAAAAATAAAAAGTTATTACCAGAGTTCGGATTTTAGTGCCATTTTCCCCATTCCAAGCTGGTATAGTAATTTAGCTTAGCATAACTTTATGTTATGAAGCTAATAGATAAACAGTATAAAGTTAACAGATAAATGGCATTGTTTCTTTTGTGGCATACAGCTTGGAATAGAGAAAACAGTATAGAGATCCGAACTGTGAAAATTATTATATATGCAGCAGGTTTTTATCAACTGATTTACATTTTCAAACAGATAAACTAGATATAAAAATAGAGAATTATTACATATGCAGCAGATTTTTATGGGCTGATTTTTATGAACCAATTTACATTTTCAAACAGGTAAACTAGATCTAAAAATAGAGAATTATTACATATGCAACAGATTTTTATGGGCTGATTTATTTTTTGAAAGGCAAAACATTACAAATTTATGCTAGAAAAGTGTCATAACAAAACTTAAACTGTCACAATAATTATCTTTAATAAAAACAAGACAAATCTATGACATTTTGTAATAATTCTTAACATTAACTTCAATAAAGATTAAATTCCTTTTTCTCAGAACAATTTAAATTTAAAAAAAAATTGAATTCGACATTAAATTAAGTCTTTACACTACAACATTTTTTTATCATACAAATCGATCTGTTATATAATAAAAAATGTGTTAAGCACAAACTCAATAAATGCTAACCAAAGAACCTGTAAGAACCAATAATTATTGTTATAACAACATTATGCTATGCTATTTATAAATCTTGTTCGAATAATCCCAGACATCAGAACTACAAGTACCTGAAACCAATAAAGACCTGGCTATGAGAAAGGGTTGCCAATGTTCAAAAAACTAATAAACAGCGAATGTTTGTATATACAAAATTTAATAGTGGTAAAAGTAATAAAATTAGATCCATGCTTTATCATGTAACGTACAGAATATAAAATACATCGTACACAACATAATGTTCTACATTTCTACATATTGAAAATTTGTATAAGTACGTCACGCTTCGTGATCTCATCATCTAAACTTACAAAGTGCGCAAAATAAGCGTAATATAACACTTAAAAGAAATTGAAGCTGATTGAGGTATCTTTGTCGTAAGCGTGCTGCAACGCAAACTACGTGCATCTCTGGAAGATTTTTCGCTGATATCGTGCGGGACAGACGAAATCGTCGGGTCTTACCTGAATTCAGCGTTCCTGACAAGAGGAAGCGTGCGTGCGGATAAAAGAGCCGTGCATGTGCCAGGTGTTGAATACGGATGCGATCAAAGTGCGAAGTTCCAAAGTTCACTAACAGTGAGTTGACGGTGCACTTTTGTGCGTGCCTCAACGTCGTTGCTCCGTACTCCGTGCCTCATCGAGGGAATCAGGACACCTCCATGCTGTGCGCGCGCGAACACGAGCGATGATGCGGCCAGATGCGGCCGAGCGAGTCAGCCGGTCCTCGTCCACGGGTTAGGAATGTTGTAGCGGGAACCATGATACAAACATAAGGGTATGCTTATGCGCACGGTAAGTCACGTGATACTCGAGCGACCAACCAGAATTGTCACAAAGTACGTCATCGTTTTGCGGTAAATTCAAACGTATTATTTACCAGTATACTTATAGCGCTCCTTGCAATATACTTTAACAAATACATAAGATATTAAACACAAAATTAATATTAAAATAACAATATTATAAATATTAAAATATTAAAATAAAACAGAATACTAAAAATAAATAGCAGAAGATATAGCAGAAAATTACAATAGTGAAATTTTAGCAATTCGATGGTGATCCATCCATCCTCTTATAAAATTGGTATGAAACCCTTAAGTTGGCCGCTAATCGCGATTACATTGTTATCGCGTTATTCTGAATGTCATTGATCGTCTCGATTTAATCGAGATAAGAATGTGACAGATCGTACAAAGAATATTAAAAAAAATAAAGATAGATCGGATATTAATTTCCGTTGCAAATCCAAGAAATAAAAATATATCATAAGGACCTAGGCATGTCTGGAATATTATGAGTTATATTATTACATTTTGAGTGTCATGAATCGAATATACATTTGAGTATTTGTTTCACAGAAAAAAAAACTGAATTAAACTTAAATGTATAATTTAATTTTCTATTTCATAATATAATATCACAGATAATATCTCATATCATAGATAATATCTGTTTCACAGAATCTATGAAACTTGTGTATTTATTTTAATCTTTATCTTGGAATAAATTAAACAATAAAAAGTAAATGAAAAGTATATTAAATAAACGCACACCATTAGTTGTAATTTATTCTTATTGTGCAATTTAGCATTGTACAAGATTATAGCTTGCAACACTAGCGAAGAAAGTTGTCATGTTATTAATTCATTTATAGTAAAAAAATTATAGTAAAAAATAATATTAAAAAATTATAACGTTTCAACTTTTTTTTCTGTTTCTGTATGTATGAATTAGAAACACAAGAAATATATAACGCTTATAGGTATACATATGTGAAACTATGCAAGGAGTGTATATTTTGAGATTTTAGGCAAGATATATAAAAATCTAAGACAATGTATTTCGATTAAATATTTTGTTCAGGATGTCGTCGCTAAAGAGAATGTATATCAGATGAATGTATATATATCAGATTGTAAATATGAAAATTTAATTGTAATTTTAATTTAATTTTATTTTTTCTGTTTTTTTTTTTTAATAAAAATTTAAATTTAATTTAGTATTTTTATTTAAATTCATACTAATTAATAAGATTGCAACTTTTTATTTGTATTAATAAATGTATTTTTATTCAACAAAAACGATGTATTTTTCATTGAAAATATTGAAGAAATAAATCATGTTTATTTTTTCTTAAAAATGTAAATACGTTTATACATATTCTTAAAAAATATGTAATTTCTTATAAGAGAAACGCAATAAATTACAATATAATTCTGCGTTAAAGTTTACATATAATATAAATTAGTTCAACTGTATAAAATAAATATTTCTTTTTTGAAAAACACTAGAGGAAAGAAGATACATGTTTTTAATATTTAAAAAATCGACACTAAATAATTTATGGGATAGGATGATATCCATCCATGGTTTCTAGAAGCGACATTTTTTCGCCATCGAGTAATTTTACGTCTTTTACTGAAGAGACCGAAAGATATGGTGGTTTATCATCTTCAGGTACTCGCATTCTTCCCGTCACTTTAACTTGTGAGCCATAAGTGAAGTCATCTTCAAATTCTCCGTCAATTGTTACCAAAACAGATAATTTATAGTATCCATCGGTAATCGCTCCGACGTAAAAATTGTTAGATGATTTTTCAAAAATCATTTTCACATAATGATCAATCATTTCTGTAAATAAATTAAAATATTTTAACAATTAATTTGTATAATTTATTCAATTATTCTAATTAATTTTTTTATTAATCAAATTACCTATTATTAAACCATTTTTTGACCTGGCATGCTGCATTTCAATTAAAGAAGCTTCTTCAATTTGTTGTATTACTTTATAAATGCCAATATAGGCACAGATAATTGTGCAACTTCGGATTAGCAATTCAAACGGAAAAGAAGCATTATGTAAAAATTCTTTTTTTGAAGGAATTTTAGGTACTACTTTTTGCAAAGTATAAATCTATAATTTAATAATTTATTTTAATTAATGTAATAAGTATTAAAAAAATTATTTTAAAAATTATAATTATCTATATAATAATTCTTTATATAATTACTTATATAATAATTACGACATATTCAATTATCTATTTCAATATACAAAATTATTAAAAATATCACTTTATAGTAGATACTGTGAGAAAATATTACTATTATACAAAGATTGAGTTAAAAAAGAGCATCTTGAGTTAATAATTAAAACAATTGTTTAATTATTCAAATTATTATTTTGCAAAAAATATTTTATATCATTCTTATTTTTTTAGATTTATGAAAGTATACAAGATTGAAAACATGTTCTTTTCTGGATTTATACTTTTTTAATGTTTTACTGCTCGCGTACTAAAAGAAACAATTAATAAAAAAAAGTAAATGTAATTTCTATAAAGACAAAAATTAGAAAGTACGCGATCAGTGAAGAGTTAATAATAAAATATTTAATGTATATTATTTAATGTATAATTTAAATACGTATGTGCGTATGTATGTGTATGTATATATTGACATTAAAAGCTATTTAACATTAAATAATTTATTATTAACTCTTCACTGATACGTACGTACGTATGTACGTATGTATGTATACAGGGTGATTCAGAATAACCCCGGTGTTCCTGTAAAGACGTATTTTTGACTCAATTCTAAGACGATTTTTCCTTTACAAAAATTTTGTCCGAAGCTTAGTTTTCAAATTATAACGAAAAATAGTTAGCGAATTACGGGCCGCGTACGGATGGTAGACAGGGGCGGCGCAACTTACTGTCCGCCGGCAGGCGGTACGCGGGACCGTCGCGACGATCAGCTGACTACACGCGCGCATAAACATGCGTTTACATTCTCTCTCTCTCTTTCTCTCTCTCTATGTTTTCACGCACGCACGCACGCACGCACGACCTCTTTCAAATTATATTAATAATATATTATATTATATTAAATTATATATATTATATAAAAATTATATTAAATTATATTAATATATTATATTAAAAATATATTATATTAATAAAATAATTTGAAAGAGGTCCAAAACGGTGTAATCTACAGGAATAAATGACGAAGAAATTGATTTAAAAAATCCGGTAAAATATACATATATATATATATACACTGGTCCAAAAAATTAAAGGATCACCTGTTCTAGCCTCTAAAAATAGGCAAACTTCAAGATAGAGCAACTTCGTCAAAAATGATCATATCGAGATGTTCAAAAAAGCATTTTACAGCTTGAAATCTTTACTTTCCAAATCGGTACTTGAGAAAACGATCCTACTGATCTTTCATGGAATTACACGGATAGAAAGGAAGACCCGACGAATCTCAAA